AAAGAAAGAAAGAAAGAAAGAAAGAAAGAAAGAAAGAAAGAAAGAAAAGAGAAAGAAAAAAAGAAAAGATTTTCTTTTTTGGATTTATAGGCAATCCCAGGGCAAATGACTAAATGACTAAGTGCGGTCCCTATTTAACATATCAAAATGGACTCTGGCCAGCCCTTCAAGCATCACCCAGTACCTATGGCTTCTCTAAGCACCTGCCCCCTACTCTAAACATCTCCAGCCCAGGGAACGAACTTCTATTCTCTTCCCCCAGTTTCTGATCCTATAATTATTCAGTCATTTTGACTACACACTCATTTGGCCTCTTTTTGTCCTGGTCCATGTTTCTTTCCCTGGTAAGCTTGCCAACCCCTCTGTCTCTTCTTTTCTCTCCCCTTTTCTCCTCTAATGGTTCAGTTAAGTCTGGACTCTTCCAGATGTCTTCAGCTACTTTTTCCTTCCTACTTACAACAAACCATTTCTTTTCCTTAACCATATCTAGTAGTTGTTATGTTCTCATTTTCATTGACAAAGTAGGAGACCCAAACTGGGTGGACCTCTGTTACACACTTTTTTTCTACAGAAATCTTACTGTACTTGAATGTCTGCTTTTATCCTGATCTGCAGAGACACAAAGGACAACAGGGCCGTCTGCCAAGTGTCTGTTTTTTGTAGTTGGTTTGGTTTGGTTTTGGTTTTCCATTTTGTTTTATTTTCTTATTTTCCTACTTGCCTTAATTTCAAACTCTTTTATAAGCTTTTGCAATTTGAGAAATAAATAATAATGTATGAAACAGAAATTTATTTTACAGTAAGTGGATGCTTAAGCATTTCAAGTCAAATATATATTCTATTGCAGAAATGTTCACTGGATACAAACATATCTTAAAAAGGCAGGACAGACATTGCCTGAGAAAATGACCAAGTTCCTTAAGTTCACAAAGACTTGAAAGTCTATTCACATTTACACATAATGAGTAAAAAAAGAAAGTAACTAAAATTTAACAATGTTCTTTTATATGTCCTAATAGATGATTTTCTAAAGAAAATCATTGTTCAAGAAACATGCTGAGTATCTTCGGATCTTAACTTTAACTGATGTAACTAGAAATTGAAAATACAATACGTAACAGTGATACTTCCATAGTGGAAAAAGAGCTGTTCAAAGCTCATTAATGAAATTTGAACTTGGAATGTCAGTAACAAATGAGGACTTTGTCTTTTGCATTTTATTTTGTGCTTCCATTGTTGTTTTTTCCTAACTGTGACAACAGAACATAGACTAAAACACTAATCTGGGCTTTGAGGCAATGCAAAAACTGTGAGTAAAATAATTGTATTCTGCATTAGTTACATACTTTTATTTGAAAACCCAAAACATTTAATATGTCAAAATTTTTATTTATAAAACTATTTTTTAATCTTACACTTCATTATAAGTCTTATAATAGTTTGTTTCAATCTCAATTTCTCAGTAATAGTATTGCTCCACCTGGTGGTAGAAATTATCGTTTTTTTTAAATTTTCCATGTTTTAATATTAAAAGTAATTGAGGTATCAAATTTATTTCTTGATTAAAATAATAGAAGTGTTTTCTAATGTTCCAAGTTAATTCATGTTAAAATATATTGAAATCACACTACAGCATTTTATATTTAGCTTTGCCTTGAAATGAAATTTTGGGGCTATATATAGCTCATAGCAGAATAATTTTGTTTGACACTTAAAGTTGTTGAATATATTATTTATTTAAAGAGAACACAAAAACAATAAAATATCTAAATAGAGATAATTTTAATAACTATCCAACATATCTATTTATCTATGTTGTGTTTATCTAGGGTTTCTCTGTGTTTTGCATCCTTCCTTATTTTATTGGTATTGATTAATCTTATTGATATTGATTGGAAATGCTTCTAAGATCATGTTTAATAATTAATCCACTTCGAAACAATTGGCATTTGAATATTTTCTCAAAGTAGTTGTGCTTTATCATGTTCCATTACTGACTGCACTCAGTTAAAATGGTATATCAGGACCTTCTGGAATAAATAGTGAAGCAATTGCATATACTTATAGTCTTTAGCTATCAATTGTCTTTGAATTTGTATTATAAACCTATCAGTGATTTACTATTGATATCTGTATTTTAAAACAGAGCAATCTGATTATGCACTTTACGAATTCCTATGTCTGTGAAAATTATGTGTCTCTTTTTAGGCATCTTCCACCTGAAAGTCCCTGAGTCTTCCCCTATTGGTTCAGTGATTGGACGGATAAGGGCAGTAGATCCTGATTTTGGAAAAAACGCAGAAATTGAGTACAACATTGTTCCAGGAGATGGGGGAAATTTGTTTGACATCGTCACAGATGAAGATACACAAGAAGGAATCATCAAATTGAAAAAGGTATATAGATGAATTTTCAGAATGTTGACAAACTGTAAATAAAAAACAAAAGCAGGGAAACTGATAGATACTTTTCTACATCTCGAAATGCTTATGAAATATAAGCTCGCACAATGTATGCCTATGTTTACAGATGTATATCTTCAGTACAGCATTAAGACCTCTTAGTTTGGTCAAGTAACATTTTAAATGTTAAGATTAATTTTTGAAGAAGGTATAGAGAAAATTGCTTACACTAACATAGTTGAAATGATCAAATTGTAACTACTTAAAGAAGCACCTATGTAATTTGCATTATGCATAAGTGTTAATGTTACTTTAAAAGACTACCAGCTTGTGTAGATAAGATTTCGGATGGAAAAGCCATTGACTACTATTATATTGCTATTCTAGTCAAAGCTTGAAGGCAAAAAAATTGACAGAAGCATGAGAAGCTCAGATCTGGTTAATGAGGTTTCTTTAGGGAAAATCAGCTGTGCCTGGATTGGACAAGGAGTGAGTTGTGTAGTATTTTGATCAGGAATGTAACTTCATTCTGACCATTTTCTAAAGTTCTGAATGAAGACGAGTGTAACAAAATGATTTGGTGGAATTAGTAAGAAAGTGATGAGGGGATCTTTAAATAATTATGTAAAAAGTAAAATGTTTTTAAAAAAAGAAAAACAGAACAGGAGTTGGGAAAGGAAGTACCAGAGAACTGGAGAAGGTGTAGGAGGCAAGACAGAATGGCTAACAGAGATGCCATATAGCAGAATACTTAGGGAAAAGGGTGCTGACAAAGTGTGAGGTTTAGTTTTGCCAACTTGGTAGAATATAGAATCATGTGGGAACACATTCTTAATTAGATGTTTCATAGATTAGGTTAATTTCTGGATATGCCTGCATGCTTCCATACACCCCATCATGACGATAATTGAATGAATCTCTGAAACTGGAATCAAGCTACCCCAATTAGATGATTTCTTTCTAAGAGTTGCCATGCTCATGGTGCCTCTCCACAGCCATAAACCCCTAAGACAAAAGGAAGTTATACAGAGAGAAAATAAACCTAGGAACTGTGGAACAAAGTTCCACTTCTAAGAAGTACCCATAGAAAAGCACTGTCTTTGGGTTTCTGTTATGGTAATGAAACACCATGATCAAAAGCAAGTTAAGGCGGGAAGAATTTAATTAGTTTATACTTCCACAACACTGTTCATCTTTAAAGAAAATCAGAACTGGAACTTAAACAGACAGGAGTTGATACAGACGCCATGGAGGGCAATAATAACCTGGCTGACTTATCTATGAAGGCCTGTTCAGCCTGCTATCTTACAGAAGTTAGACCACCAGCTTAGAGACCGCACCACTCAACACAGGGCTGGCCTCCTGTCCCGTTAATCCCTAATTAAGAAAGTGACCTACAGCTGGCTATTATGGAGGCATTTTCTCAGTTGAGGTTCCTTTATTTCAGATAACTATCTTTGGTCAAGTTGACATAAAACTAGCCAACAAAGGCACAAAAAAGCCTCTGAATGTGGCTGTGAAGGTAAAATCTCCACTGGTGGAGGCATCAAAACATGAGCTGCCAGGATGTAGATGATTCATCAAGCTGGGTTGCAGTAGACCAAGCCTCTGGCTAAGATAGTGCTGTGTGAGCTTCAAGTGTAAGAGTAGAGGGATGGGACTGCCTAAGCTCTGGAGTCTATAAAATTACATTATAAGCTACAGCTGATGGACATCTAGCTTCAGGATCTGATGTTTTCACCCCTGGATATTTATTTCACTTCCATTTTGAAATATGTAGTTCATTTTGAGCTTTCATAAGTTTGAAGTGTGTGTATGTGTTTTATTTTATAGCAGCTTGTACTAAAGAGATGTTAGAATTTCATGAACAATTTGTATTGAAAGTAAAATTATTTACACCCAATATATTCTGATCAGGGCTTACCTATTCCCCTCCATCGTTTCTGATATTCTCCTAACCTATCACACTTTCGTCTCCACACCTTTTTCCTTCAGAAAACAGAAAAGGAAATAAAAATGCCAAAGAAGGGAGGATAATAAAATGAACCAACTAACACACAAAAACAAAAAAGAAAGAGCACAAGGAAGGCATAACATATAGGAAACACCCATGCGCGCACACACACACACACACACACACACACACACACAGAGAGAGAGAGAGAGAGAGAGAGAGAGAAGCATACATCCCACATACATACACACACACAAATACATACATGCCTAATACATACACACACAGTAAGAAGCATACACCTCCACACATATAAATACACTAACAAACTCAAACACACAAAAATATCTCACACACAGAGAAGCGTGAATTCCCCCCCCCAACAAATTCATGAAAACACGGAATTGGAAACAATATTATAAAAGTAAAAGACCACTAAGAAAAGTTAGAAAATATACACAAACACAGGAATATGAGACAAAGGAACTCCAAATATAAAATACTAATAAGCTCAATTTCTGTTGCCTACCTGCTGCTGGGCACAGAGCCCTTAAGTGTGGATTGTATAGTTAGTGACATACCATTGCAGAATCTAATTTTCCCTTGAAAGTCGTTTTTAACTGGAAATAGGTTCTTGGATAAGATGGGAAGTCATATCTACTTCACCAACCCAGCACTAGGTCCCTGTCTGGTTCACATTCGTGAAGGTCTTGTGTATGCTGTCACAATCTCTGTGAGTTCATTTGTGTGCCTGTCCTGTTCTTTCTGAAAGACACAATTTTCTTGATATCCCCCACAGTGCTAGCTCTTAATATCTTTTTCCCCTGCTTCCACATCGTTTCTTGAGCCCTGACCACAAGGGTTTGTTGAATACATCAATTTAGGACCACGTATTGCACGATCTCTCACTCTCTGCACATTGTCTGGCTCTGGGTCTCTTCCAAGCTACTTCAGGAAATAGCTTCTCAAATGACAGACAAATGAGATACTGCTCAATGGGGCGTAGCACAACATTGTAAGGAATCATTTTATAATATGTTCCTTTAGGACCACAGAATATCTAGTCTCAGTTTCTCTGACAAGATATCATCTGATGGAGTGTTTCATAAATCCAATCGGGTAGTTATTGATCACTCTCATGATAGTTCTGCTATTATTGCACCAGTGTATCATGTAAACAGGTTGACATTATAGAGTGAACATTTGTAGCAGGATTAGAGTTTAGTTTTCTCATTTGGTATTATGTAGAAGATTTCCCAGGACCATGAGTACTTGTCAGTATGGGTGAAAACTCTAGTTAGGAATCAGCTCCACTCCTCCATATATAGGAGATATATTGGAGTTGTCTGTAGCCTTATACTCAGTTCAGATAGAGCACCCAATAGTTTCACAATCAACTGAGTTGTTTGAGGGCTTTCCATGGTACCCATTTCACCAACAAATGCTTTGTAGGTTATTATGATTCATAGGCATCATATCTATGAATGACCATTGGTTGCTTCTCTTCTAGAGTATTTGTTTGGTTTTCACCCATTTTATTTTATGTTTCTTGTTTCTCCCTGTAATAGAACATTATTCATTGTACTGACATTTAAATCAATATTTACATCTAATTGGTTACCATAAATTTTACTACATCAGTAGTAAAAGTCAGTAGATATTTGTGGAGTGGCTACTGAATACTAGACTTACTCAAGACATGGCAGATAAAGTTGAAATAGAAACATTTGTGTACAGCCTCTAGCAGTTTTGAGAAGTGGGCTGACTTGACAGTGGTAAACTAAAGCTGGAAGTATATACATTGCTATAAAGTGTCAATAAGCACATAGCAGGAAGTCTTTTAGAGAATTGATCAAGAAAGACTTCCAGTTGAAGGAAGCAAGCTTAACACTGTGATGTTTGGATAATGTATGTTCCCAAAAAACCTGAGCAGTAATCTTTCCAAAATCTCTGATGAAGAACACTGACAAAGAGAAAGAGTCATGTCAGGGCAGTGAGGAGAGGACGCTGGGAGGAGAGAAGATCCAAGAGGAGGAGGAAAACCTATATGCAGGGTACGATGCTGACATTGATCATGATAAACAACCATGAGTTTAGACTAAATCATCTTCATAGGCCCAAAGCCCAGTCACTAGGTTGCGTTAATGAAAATTGTGACTGAGGAGAAAGAATAGAAATAGCCTAGTGATGATGGTACCAGAGACATAATATATACTGAAGTGGTGTAGGCTTGGAATAGGGTGCTTACAGACATGAGATATATGAAATGATGATGATCCTGCTGTATTTTTTAAGAGAAAAGTGTGCTCTTATAGGTACTCAGACTCGCTGGAAAATTTTTATCATTCATTTGCGTAACTCTAAAGAGTATATCTAAAATAAAAAATGCAGCAGATGTTCCAAGAAAGCTTAAAATTATGTATCATCTCTCATCGTTTATGTTGTACTGTATGGAAAGGGATTTTTATATACCTGCACACTCATAGATGCATTTCTTGATTAAAATCTTTGCTAAGGGTTCTTAAATAATGAAAATATACAGGTGAAAACTTATGAAATTTCCAAAATTAACTTGATCAACATCCACTCTTTTATCTTTAATATTTTTTTGATGTTAACCAAATTCCCAGTGATTGAAGGCAAATACTGTCTCTAGGTCCAGTATTTTATTGTTATTATTCATTCATTCACTCACTCATTTGTCCTTTATTTATTTGTTCTTCCCTCATATATGGCATTCTGACTATAGTTTATTTCCCTCCTCTCTTCCCAGTACTTCCACCAGCCCCTCTCTCCTGAATCCACTGTTCATTTATTTCCCTGCAGAAATCTCCCAGGAATAGCAACCAAACATGGTATAGCATGTTGCATTAAGACCTGACACATCTCCTCATATTAAGGGTGGATGAGGGATCCCTGTAGAAGGAAAAGGGTACCAAGAACAGGCAAAAGAGTTAGAGAGAGCACCCACTCTCACTATTAGGAGTCCCACAAGAACACAAAACTACACAAGCACAACATACACGCAGAGAACCTAGCT